TGAGAGCATTTTTTTTTCTTCTTCTTCTGATAGGTATTGAAGGAATGAATAGATCGATGAAATTTGAAAAGTCATAAGACTGTTCTTTTCTCTACAGCTGTTTTTTTTTTTTCTGCTTCCTTCTATCTGTTCATCTATTGCACTTTGTCTAGCAAAAAAATTTTTTCTGCAACTACTCTAACGTTTTCCTCTGGGCAACAGAAAATGATTTCGTCTGTTAATAACCCTTCAGTTATGATTATTTTGTTTAGACTCCACAATGTAGTTTCATACTTTAAGGAAATAGACAGGAAAACTAGTAGAGCAGAAGACAGAAAAGATACACTGAAATATGTTGACGGGCAGAAGTTTTTTTTTTTTTTTTTGAGTGTTCTGAGCAGTAAAACTAATTTAAACAAGGCAAAAGGAAACGCTGAAGATGTAGGCGGGTACCAAGAAAATGTCTATTTGTATGTGCTGCGTGTGTATATATACATATTGTGTGTAAGTGTTATGTTGATATACGCATTGGTTATGTATGCTGCCAAGCAGTAGGCAATTCAAATTGTTGCGTATATAAGGGTTGAAGAAGTTGGAACATTAATCGATAGACTAAGGCTTAACCACCAATCTTTGTTGCTTACAAGTAAAACAAAAAAAAAAAAAATTTAGTTAACCAAATTAGAGCACAAGGTTTTGTTGCTAGTAAGGTTAGTTGTGTTTGCAACTGGAGCCTATAAGATTATTGAAACGTCCAAGAGTTTGCTAGCAAATTTTGGTATAGTTTTGTTGACTGTAATGTAAAAAATTTAGAAATTTTGAATGCTTTAGCAGTAAAGGCACTTTGCTGAACGGTCTGAACGTTATCTGCATTTATCCATTAACAGTTGTCATCAGTTATTACCATCGTTAACGGTTGTTGGTATTTATTGTTGACACTACTGATACTACCGGTTTCGCCTGTTTGAGGTGAACGCTATTGAACTTTTTTATCATTTATAAGTGAGTAAAAAGTGACAAGCAGAATAAAACTTTTTTACTTCTGTATCGTTCTCCTGCCTCTTTTTTTTTTTTTCATTGTTGTTCATTCTTTTTCTTTTATGACGTTAAAGCAAATATGAAAGAAAAAAAAAAAAACATCTGCCATTTGGTTGTATTTATATTTCTGTTCTATTTTTTTCTACTCTTTTTTTTTTTTTGCTTTTTTCCATTACTTTTTTTCTGCTGCTGCTGCTGCTGTTGCTTCTTTGCTCGCATTTTTGACATCTTTAACAGAAGCATCTTTTTCGCAGATTTACCTGTATTTTAGCACTTTAAAGTTTACTAATTCTTTTTGTTGTTGCTCATTTTATTTATTTTACTTTTTTTTTTTTTGCACAATTTTAGATTTATTGTAAAATTTTTGTTATAAATACTAAAAGAATATATCGTTATTTTTTTGTTGTTTTCACTGTAGTTATTGGTTTTGCATGGTTTTTTTTAATCTTTTGTCTGCTGATTTGTAGGCTCAAACAGATTGGGAAAGCGAAAGGACAACTGCATTTTTTTTTAATATATACTTCTCAAAAATTGCTATTGATTAATGGAACAAACGCTGAACTATGTGTGTATTCTATTCTAGTTTTTAACTTTCCTTGAAATTTTTTATTGCATAATTAATTTTGGTTCAATGCTGAAATAGGGAAAGTAATTTTTTTTGTATTTATGAATTTTTATACTATCGGTGTATCAGTCATCGAATACTGTCACATTGGTTTGTTTTGTTTCTGTTGTTATTGTTGAATGTCCCGCCATTAAATGGAACAGTTGCAAATGTCATCTCAGCATCCGCAGTTGGTTTTTGTACAAAAAAAAAATAATGCTACTTGAAGTATCAGATGTGTGTTTTCTAGAGGTCGCCAGGAATGTGCAGTTTATAGATTTGACTGGAACCTTCCAACTTCTAAAAACTTTTTTCTTTTTACCACAAATGTCACCTGTGCACCGGCGTTCTATCTGTCTATCCTTTCCCTTTTTTTTTTGTCTGTTTTTCGATAGTAGACGGTCAATTTTTGCAGGCTCTGTTTCGACGACTGTTATACGTTTGAACTCTTTGAATTATTATTCCTTAGTATATTATTGGTTGGGGAAATCTTTCAGCAATTTAAGTTGTATTAAGTGGCGTTCTTTTTTATTCAATTTACAAAACCATAATTTAATCATTATTCTTAACTGTCCAAAACAAGTGGATACATATGATCATGCTTTTTTCATTCTGAACATTAATTTTTATCAGCTATCTCCGACAACTTATTGCTATCTGCATCTTTCCTACAAATTTTGTTTACTTTTCTTCGCGCAACCTATAGATAATGTTGAGGTGAAAAACTACATGAAAAAAAAAGCCGTAAATTCTGAGGCTTTTTTTTTTGTTTTTAAAAATAGGCACTACTATTTCTAGACTACCTGTAAAAAGAAAAGTAATTTAAATTTTGTGCCTCAATTTTAGTTTATTTTTGCCTTTTTTTGGTGTCGACATTTTGTAGACAAGAAATGTATTGCTAAACTTCACAAATGGTTGTTATACTTTTTGCTTCTAAAACAAGTCTATCATCGTTTTCACATAGTTGTTGATAATTCTGACTACCTAAAATTGTTTTTGCATCTTTAATGCAATTTATTCTAAAAATTTAAAAGACTTTTTGCTGCTGGCCAAATAAAACCAATCTACTGAGTGCAAGCAGTTTAGTCTGTTGGTACTCAGTAATCCCTTAGTTCATTTCAGCAACTGATCTTTCTTTCTGTTTACCGATATCAGACGCCGTCTATGTCACCTTAAACACTTCATCTAGGAGTCTGCCGTTTCTTTAATTTTTGTACTTTTAACAGTGCCAGTTGAACTTTCTTTTTTTTCTTTCTTAAACAGCAGTCAAAAAAGCGATATCTTCTGCTAAACAGATGGCGATAATACAGTGGGCTGTATTACAGGAAAAACGATAAGTACTCTTAACTTCCATTATGGCGATCTTTATTTGATGTGATTTTCATGTGAAAAAAAAAAAAAACAGGCGGAAAAAACCTCGTGAATTCTACTTTTTTCCCAACAAAAATTTTATAGTTACAGTTTTGTAACAGTTTTTAAACGTTGTTCTTTAGTAATTCACTGCTCCATACATTTCTTCGTCAACGAAAGCGCTCATCACTTTATCATTATTATTGAGTTAAATAAACGGGAAGAAAAAGTAGACATGGATGGTATATTTGAATCAATGACTTGCTGCTAAAAAAGCAAACATTTAGAAGCCGAACTGCGGCTTTCTTTTGTGCCTGTTACCTTCTAACTTGTCATCGTCTTCAGATGCACCATCCCTTCACTTTCGGCATCATCTATTTGTTGTTTACGGCAGGAGTAAATCTGCAATCATTGATACGCACTGTTGACAATTTATTCATTTTGAAAGTTTTCAAAAAATAAATAAATAAATAAATGAATAAATAAAAAGTGAACATACGTGACAGCATTTAATTTTTGTAGTCAGTATAAACGAATGGCCGGCAAAAAAGAAGAACAATTATTTAGAGATGGATGAGAACAAGTTATACAACTATGCTGACTTGTCGTCGACAAAAACCCAGAACTTTGGTTACGAACACCCAACGAATGGACGGCATGTTAGACCGATGGCTTGTCATCGTCAATCTTCTTTTGGACAATTTTAGACATTGTTGTTCATCGTGGTTTCTGAATTACTATGATTTGTGTACTGTTGGTTAGCCTACTTGCTTAACGGAATGGTTCCTTTATCTTTGATAACGCCTACACACATTCTTCTGGTGGATATAGGCAGTTCTGAAGATACCGAGAGTTACTGTATGGGTGGATGGTTTCATAGATAATTCATATCCATACAGCCTGAATTCGCGAGTATCCCGCAGAACCTATTATTTTGGTTGGGAATGACCATTTTTATTTCTTTATTTTTCTTTAACTGAACAGCGTAACATTTTTTATAATATTTTTTTTTATAATATTCTGATTCTGTTTTTTTAAATAATATTCTGATTTCCTGCTCAAATTAGTAGTCTGTTTCCATTTAATTCCACATAATTTTCCTAATTTTGATTCTGACTACTTCGTTCTGTGTTTGAAAGTAGCTGAGTAAGAAGGATGACTGAGAAGAGATTAATTTGGATTGGTAACAGCTGTAACATTCAAAATCGTTAATTTTCTGATTACTCATTAATTCTTTGGAATTTAAAGTTAAAAAAAGAGGTCTCTTAACAAGCTAAATTAGATTTTTCGTTCAATGCAGAAGTTTTTGTGGTTTCTCTTTCTAAAAACTTCATTGCTTTCAGTAGTGTTTGTTGTGTAGAAAAAATTTTTTTTTGACAACCATATGGTTTGATAAATTAATGTTTTTGAAACTGCTGAGTGCTGAAATAGCCCGTACCTTCAAGACTGTCACTAAACGCTGCCTGATAAAGGGGATTCTGATGGCTCTGAGTGACTTCTGTAGGGAAACATCCATTTGTTACTATTTCCAAATTTGTTTTTTCAGTTTATGGACAACATCGACTGAATTCTGGCTGCATCAGCATATTCAGCGTTTAATTCCATTGACTTACTGTTAGCTGCAGTGTTCTTTTTCCTTTGCTGTTTTTCAAGCCTACTAAACAACTAAAGGCGAAATTGCTTCTTGTTTCTTGGTTTTCATTTTATCATCATTGAGGTCTTCTAATAACGCTCATTTAGGACATGAAGAGAAGATGGTGCTTTCTGGCAGTGACTGTTCGTGTGTCCTTGTACCTGACCAATCTGAACTGGAATCTGCTTGCTCAACCACTACTTATCCAGACATCTTGCAGAAGTTGAATGATATGAGAGCACATGAAGAAGCATGTGATGTATTTTTCATTGTTGGAAGAGAAAAAAAGGTTTCTTTGCTGTTTTTATTTCTAAGGCTTTATTACGGTTTTTTTCGGTTTTTTCTATCTATAACAGTTTTGTTCCTTTTGCTTTACGATTGTAGTGGACCGCTGAATGTATGTATTATAGGTTAAAAGTTTTAAAATTTTGTTTTTTTTTTTCAAAATTTGCCATCTACATTTTTGCCCAACAGTAAACTACCACTATTTGCTTAGAAATTGCAGTTGTTTATTTTATTTTAGCGATTTGCTGCTCATCGTCTTATTTTAGCTGCTTCTTCTGATGTCTTTTATAGGAACTTTTTTGGACCTCTCATTTCGAAAGGTGAAGTTTTTTGTGTGTAAATTGCAATGACATCCTGCTTTACTTCTTTACTGCGTCATTTATCCACCTCGACCAGTACTGTATATGAACAGTTTCCTAAAACTTTTGTAATATGCAACTTGTTCTTCTAGATGGATATTCGAAAAAAACCGCCACACTGATACCGGATGTTGTTCCAGAAGCTTTCGAAATTCTTTTGCAGTTCTGCTACTCAAGATCTCCTGAAATAATAACGGATCTAGTGGTTCATACTCTTTATGCAGGTAATCCTAATAACACTTTCCAAAAATAGCTTTCTAACAGAATTTCTTGCATTTTTGAGCAGTATTCATTCCTAATTAAAACTTCTTGAGACAGGTAGCAGTTTTATTTATCATTCAGCTTACTAAGTTGTTGCTGCCATCACTCTTAAAGTATTACCTTTAAGAAGTTCAAATGTCTACCTAAGTGATTAATTTAGCTGCAATTTTTTCTTTTAATTTTTATAAGCTTTGATTTAATTATTTTTTTATTGCTTTGTAGCCGAAAAATATAATGTGAGACGCTTAAGAAGCAGTTGCTTACGACAACTTGCGGCAACCAAAGTTGAAGATTCAATGACTGTTCTGGAGCAAGCTCTGGAATACGAGGAAATGACAATTGTCGATCGCTGTCTGAAAATAATTGATAGTAACTGTGATAGAATAATTGCATCAAAAGGTACTAAAACCAATTTTTACGGCTATTAAGTTGCAATTTTCTGCAAATAATTATGCGATTCTATGAAACGGTAAAGACCTGTCATTCTTAAATCGGTTTCTCTTTTCTTTTAGGCTTAAGGAACTGCAGCGCCAGAGCTTTGAAAGTGATTATTGGTAGAGACGAATTTAGCCCTACAAGCGAGTTGACTTTGTTTACAGAAGTTGTTGAGTTCGCAAAATTGGTGTGCTTGGCTTTTCTTATGCTTTTTTTTGTTATGCCTTATCAACATTGATGAATTTTTTAAAAAATGGTTTTAAAAAAATTTTTATTTTGCCTTACAGTTTCATCTCGAACGCAGGTTTAAAATTCAATTTATTGCAGCAATGTAGACATCAGAATTTAATCACTACTGGAAGCAATTTAAGGCAAGTTCTCGGCTCGATATTATATTTAATCAGATTTTCTTCAATGTCGGTTGAAGACTTATGTGAAGCAGGTCAGTTTTTTTGCTTCTACTGCTTTGAACAATTCTCAGTTTTTGGGTGTTAATGTTTTGCAATATGGTGCTAGCTGGCCAGAACTTTTTAGCAGTCGCTGAGGGGAAATTAGATGGTCTTTCAAGAACTCTGTTTGTGACGTTCTTTTAGATTTTACATACGCTGCTATATTGCTTCAATTATGACCTTTTCAGCTAAGCAGGGAGTACTAACGAATGAGGAAGTTGATGAGCTTCGTTATAGTATAACAGCGAATTCAGGGGAGACCCCACATTTCCTAATACATCCTCGTTGTTCATTAGGTATGTTTTCTCCAAGAAAGCAGCCAGTGTAAATAAAATATTGCATTATTTTTCTTCAGTTTTCACCATTATTTTTTTGACTTATCTTCAAAAAAAGCTAATATGCACTGGTTGTAAGTACGTCTAATTTTACTTTCAGGGATACTTCAAAAACCTACTTATTCTTTTAGAAGAGCGACAAGTGTGGTGAAAGTTGATTGGATGAACCTTTCAACAGCTCTTTTGTAAGAACCTTTGATTCTTTTCTCCCATAACACTAAGTTACCAATTATGGAAGAATCAGATCTTTAGTAAAGTCCTGAACCAGTGAAGGTTGTAGTGACAATTCATTTACAGTTTCCAAGTTGATCGAAATATATTTATTTGTTGCGTTGGTATTTATACCCATTGCGATGAGAGTGAAAAAATTCAGCGCGATGAAGTTTCCATAATGGTACGCTTTTTTGTATGCCCTCATGTAACGGAATTTCACTGTAAGACCCCTATAATGTTTTCTAGTTTTTCAGAACTTACAAATAAGACCATACACGACTTTTCTCCATAGTGTAAGCTGAAACTGCTAGGCAATTTAATATTCTAGAGTTAAGTGTTCGTAATCTCAGCATTCCTTACACTTACCCTAAAAATTTCACGTCTTTCACTGATTTGTCTAATGAGACCACTTATTTAATATTAATTCGAGATGTTTTTAGTTTGCTCCGTATGGTGAGAACACGAAAAAGTTAGTCATTGCAAATCTCCATCAGGAAGACAACATCGTATTTATTCATTTAGCAGATCATCTGGCACTCAGTGGAGGAAGAAAATATTACTTCTGCGTTAATCTTAGCGTGAGCCCATAATTTTTTTCTCATGTATTAGAAGTACAGTAATACAAATAATTCAAAGCCAATTCAGTATGTTTGCTCATATGGCTCGTTAATTGCTTGCTTCGGAACACCTTCACTGTTTCACTTATTGCGCATCTAGTCTGAGTAAACTTCATACCCACTAGTCAGTCACTTCTTTAGGCAGTGTTTGCAGATTTAAAGTGTTTTTTAGTTTTAATCCAAAGGTGCTAAAATTTTTCCGAAAACGTTTAAAAGATCGCATTTCTTATTTTTTAAATGCTCAGTTCTTGCTCAGTTTTTGGAAATAAACCTTAAAAGTCTTAAGCTTTGAACATTAAAGAAGTAGAGCTTACTTATTCTTCATTTAAGAGTATCCCTCATGGCCTTTCAAAGTAACCATCGATTTTTTCTACATTTTTCAACTACTAATAAAGTATAAGTACGCAAGTCTGGCAGGATCACCTCGTCTTTTACAAATTCTTTTACATAACTGGACACTTAATTCCGAATTTCATATAAAAATGGTCGTTAACACGGTTCATAACTATAGTCTTGAATTAAAGAGGATGCCTCACAGGGCGGATATAGCTGGACCCGATGGTTTTAACAGCAATTCCCTCCTCCCCTCACCTCTTGCTCCTTTCGGTATAGTATTTAGATAAAAGGGAAGTGGCGGAGTTTCTCACCTCTAGCTCTAGGTGTTCTCCACGGAGAGCCTAACCAATTTACAACTTAAAGTCTTTGCCTAACCGTTTGTGAGTTTTGAAAAATTTGGATGGTTGGCAACATAACGCGCAAGGAGCACTTTAGTTTGTAAGGAAGATTTCCATTCTGCTTAGGAATTTTCTGCTTTTCTCAAAAGAAGTGTGTTGTCAAAAAACTACTGGTCGATTTGCTTTTTCAGGACGCTGAAGGCCGGTATTTTTATTGTAACTCTGCATATGTGCCACCAACTACTGTAACGACGTGTGGTGGGATAAGCGTGACGTTAACGTGCGACAGAAGAAACGGGAATGAGTTCTTCCCTGAATTACGTTTCACCTTATAGCACACATCAACCAGTTTCCCCTATCAAAGTTACAGTACAACTAGAAGGATCACACTAGAAGTATAGGTCAATTACGCATTGTCTAGGATGACGCAGCATCGCTGGCTTTTTCGCGGCACGACACACTACGTATAGTCAGCCAAACGTAAAAAGGACCAGGCCGAGTTCATTCACCGGTCTGTGCCGACAGCGTGAGACTTCCAATTTTTCGCTGATAACATGCCAATAAAGTTGTTTCCGTCACTACCAAATAGTAAAGTCCCATCTTCTAATTCTTCGACCTAAAACTGCTTTTGTTAGCAGGGCCTTTATAAAAGTGCTCTCTCTGTACTACTACGAATTATTTTAAAAAGTGAGAGAGGGAATTTAAAGTCGACCACAGTATAAAAATCAGAACTTATTTTTGTATGGATAAACCTACGCCGCTTAAGGACGTCTTCATCAACCACCTGTCGCTCGCAAAACTTGAGGAGAGATACTTTCTACATATGCCAGTACTTTTAAAAACTTGCAATGAACTTCCGATACCTGAGAGATCGACGAAAGATGCGTGCCTGATGGGTCTTGCAAACTTTTTAATATCCTCCCAGAGCGCACGTCAACCAGCAATACCATGCCATATTTAGGAGAGAGGTAGTCGACAAGCAATTCAAAAATACTTCTTGACGCCAACTGAAAAGAGGAATTTGTTTTAGTGGAGGCTATAAGCTCTATAAATAAAGTTTTTGGCATTCATGACCTTCTCTTAGTAAGCCCGCTTTAAGGTACTAATGAAGAACACAAAAATAATGCAATTCAAACGGATTAACTAAATGGACGAAATGGACAGTTATTATAAACTATGAAAAAAAAAGAGCCGTTAAGGAGGCAAACCTTTGCGAGACTGTTTCGCAGCATTTGGTTTCTGGTAATGAACTCATCGCTCTGAAGTCTTAGACTTCCTAAAGGGACCCATAGGTTCCCATCTTTTGAAAATCGTATATTATCTGGGTAACCAGGTAAGTTATCAATCACCACTGTGAATGTATTTGGTTTATTGAAACAATACCTGGAATTTGCAAGAAAGACAGCTTTATAGGAGAGAAATATACGGTGCCATAGAATTTCTGACAAAACAACGAAGAAAGTAGTCATGTTCGCATTATCGCCACCAGTAAGTGAGGAGGCTCATTGACTGGAGAATAGTACCATACTTGCAGCATATTATCAAAAAAAAATTTTTTTTCTCAGCCTTATCCTCTCCTACAGCCTTTTCTCAAACCAAAAAAGTTCTTGTAAGCACTAAATTTGGATGAAGAGCTCCAAGCAGGCCGACAAAAAGCGGGGTACTCAACGAGTAAAACAAGATTTTTTTCGTGCAGAAACCATTTGAAATAAGATGAGCCGTGAATGAACAAGCAGCTATTCTTACTGTACATAACTATTCTCTAACCGCAACTGCCAACAATGACAAATGACAGATAAAGGTTTTAAGAAATACCTTAGTATCCTAATGTTCCCCATTTCCGCAAATAAAACGCATTTTCCACTACGCTCAACTTGAATACCATTTGGGTACTGCAAGCCATCTAATAAAACCTTCACTTCTCCAGTTTTAATGTTGTATGATAACAATCTGCAATTTACAATATATGAGTCCAGGAATGTCAGTCACTTTTCAGAAGCAGTACTGCTAAAAATTTTCCAAAAAGTACTGTATTAGCTAGAGTCGCAACTAAAAAACAGCGGTTAAAAAAAGCATATCAAATGCAAATGATCGTATGCCCAGAAAAAAGTCGTTTTCAGGTTTACTAGTGAGCCATAAAATGCTAATAAATACCGTCCATCACCACCATGTTCCACCAAAGAATACAAACAGTCTCGGTCAGAAAACTTTTTCGAGGGTTCTGACAAAATTAAAGTTATACCATCGTCCAACTCATCAACATCATTTAAATATTTTATTGGTGTTGCATTAGGGTCGCTGCTAATGGGTGTCCCAGGCCGCAGAATAGTCACATAGTCTGCTAAAACAATTCTTGGACTTTGAAATATTTCCTCTGAATTAATCTGGGTCATGGCACCGAAGGTCAATCAAATTTAGAAACACTTAAATAAGCCGAGCAGACAAGGTTAAGGTGCTAACCTGTAACTACATTGAATTCATATAAGCCATGATACGCATCAGCTATAAGCAAGTAATCAGCTTTATTCTTCCTGAAACGAAGTCCAAGTGGCCGGCCACATTGTAGAGCATCTGAGTATGAACCACTGCAGTTATTCGATATCTCACCATAACGCAGATGAACATTTCTTTGAATCACAAGCTTAAATAAATAGACTGCAGTAATCTAAATTCTAGTAGAAATAGATAACACGCTTACCGAATCTGGTCCTTTTGCTCTGAGCTCAACGATATGACCACTTTTCAAACCAGTGTAAATTGTCTTGAATGAACTGTGAACTGCAAATGATTCAGGGCCCAAAACATTCTCGTGTAATAGCACTTTAGCTTTGGACAAAATTGTATTAGGCGCCAACGGCCCTTCAAGGATGCGTGGTGGTGGCAAGCTGCAAAGCTCTTAAGGATGTATGAGTTTAGGTTTGCGGGTCAAAATAAGTTTTTTTAAAACAAACATTAATAGCTTTACGCTGACCACCCTAACATCAAATTATTATGCAAGTAATTAGCTTACTAGCTTTCCATAAATAGCGGCACGCCTCTTCATTATTTTACAGCAGTCACAATCAAAAAAATCTCTTTAAACCAGAGGACGTATAAACTATACTAAACCCAAAGAAAACAGCATTTCTCTTTAAAATAACTAAACTGAGCCCAGCTGATGAGCTCTGTAACAAGTTTTTCAAGGCATAGCTATTCTTAGAAGGCAGAATTTACAGCGGCAAATTGATCTGACTCCGGATAGCGCAAGACCAGTCAAGTTTTAGCTCAGCCTCAACGACTAGATGAATTCCTATTCTTATCAAATTGTTCTTCTTACTCTGCAAAAAAAGAAACAATTCAATGAGAGGCGAAAAACTCTTTCGCAATCCTACAGTCAGCCTCCTGATTTAAAAAATAACGCATCTGTACAAAGGCACTTCTTCACAACAGTGACTTTGAACTTTTCAAGCAACAATGATAAAAGTTTTCAAACCTACGTGACTGATATAGCTCATCTGAAATCATTCATGGTTTAAAATACAAGTGAACGAAATCTATTCTTTTGACCTAAGATGTGTACAAAAAATCGCTCAGTAATGTCTTCAAAAAAACTGCCATTTTTCTCAACCTCAAATAAAAGAAAAGTAGTTTTATCGGCAACAAGACTTGTAGGCAGAAATTCTAAACCTAAATTAAAAACATACACGAAGTCATCAGAAAATAAAGATTAATTATGCGCTTCAAGGACTTTTAGTTCCATAACTTTTCGCATGTTACTAGCTATTTAGAAGACGAATACCACCCTAGGGTGCACAGAAAAACATAGTTTTTAGTATACTGTTCGATAAAACTTTCCACATGCCTATTCTAAATCTAAAACTGCCTCAAAATATGATTCTTTCCAAAAGTGCAGCATGTGGTTGAAAATGAAATTTCAGCAAACTCTCATCATATTCAATCAAACCTGTAGGACTTTGATTTGATTGGGCCTTCACCAAGTAGAATTTGTGCAGCCAAGGTAAAAACCAACAATCCAAACGCGCATAACGTGAAGAGCAGACCAGTTTGAAACCTAGAAAATTTTTCAGATAATATCCCGAGCCTTTTGCAGTTTACAACGACAAATTCTTTTAGCTTAATTATTCAGTCCCTAAGGTAATTACTTCTTTCTCCGTTTCATTTGTTACCTCCTCTTCAAGAGAAAATATCCTACCATTACGACACAAAGTCTGCAGTAGTAGTAGGAACCATGCCATCTATCTTCGTCAACGACTACGACCAAAGGAACAAAAGCAAGCAGATAATGGAGAGTTCTATTACAAGAGGAGAAAAGAAAAAACCAGAGGATAGAATTTGTCCCACGTTGAGACCAGTTCAATAAATACGAAGTAACAACAGTCTTTGACTAGCATCACACCAATATACGCTCTGATTTCTTCGCCTCATAACCAGTCAATCAACCATCTTCGGTGAAAAAACAAAACAATACCATCAAAAAAGAAACTTCGCTAATTATAGTAAAGAGATAAAAGGCGACAAAAATTTCAGATCCTTTAACTTTCGCGTTCAGTCAAAGAAAACTATCGTTGAAAGTGGTAAAAAAAGCAATCCAACCCTTCCAGTTCTTCAAGGATTTTTAAACATCCTACTGAGCAGTATTAACACCAACCAAACGCAACAGTTTTAAGAACTTTTTCTCTGATCAAATGCTTTAAATAACAAAGAAAACGAGCATTAACAAATATCGCAATATCAATTTGGCACCAATCGTTCTATACTTCGTAAGACCAGTCATCTATTCAAAAAGATCGAAAGAATTTTAAAGAAACCTGATCACTCACAGTTCTCCTGCGCTCGGTGTGTCATTCTTAAAACCCATTTTTTCACCGGTGGCATCTTCCTTTGTAGTACTTCCTTCGATCTTTTGCTTCTTCTTACGCTGTTTCAGGAACGGCTGTTTTTGGTCCATGACTGCCACAGGTTAAGGCCGCAGCAGCTGCACGGAATTTAACTGACGTTTCTTAAACATCAATATCTAGCATTTTGAACAGAGCAGTAGCCAAACTGGAAGTTGCCACAGTGCTGACGATGACAAGAATTAGCAGCACTTATCGTATACAAAATATGCAAACATTATGGCAAAATAACTTCTGTAATTGGCACAAATACAAAACATTAACATCCAATTTCAACTCCGTTCAAACAAACATTTGTGTAACATTGATGTGTTGAGACCTTGACAATATATTTGACGCTAATTCTCAAAGCGGACTGCTCCCTCCTGCTTCATAGACTAAACACTTACGTTTTTTTCCATAATACAGCCTATAAACATTGCTAATCTTGTTGCTACGCTCTGGCAACCACAAACGTGGCAACTGCCTGCCAATTTGCATATAAACCAATAATTACAACTTGTAATTGATCGTGACTTGCAAAAATTTTCCGGACGGTTCAGACAAATTTTTTAGACCGTTATAAGTGAGCTTAAGTTTGACAAAAATCTTTCAAAATTGACAGGCAGTATTGCCAATATCGAAAAGTGCAGAAGTGCACTTAATAGAACCTACTGTATCAGGATCCAGCATCGACCTGGGGGAATCAACAGAGGTCAGTTTTCACTAAAAAACGATTTAAGGCAGTTTCCATCTAAACGTAAAAATCTACAATAAATTACTGGACAAACAATCATTTATTGGAAGGAAGTATGGAGGAATATAGTTGCCAGCGGGGAATGATTTTGGCAATTAGATGCGAGACTGCTTTTGCAATTTTAAGATACAACACCTTCACTTTCATTACCTTACCTAAAAAATTAGGCCTTGGAAGTTTACTGGCAATAGTCTTCAATATGTGCCAGGATCCCGTCTTATGCTACGTACTCAGAGGATATCCTTTTTAGTAGAGAAGCGCAATCGATGACCAAGAAACGGTGATCTCGGTTTTCTTTTGGGTAAAAAAAGGTATCCAGCCTTATAAAACCACTACTTTGTTCCACTCTGCCAAGGATCTCAGACAGTGGCAGTAGAGCTTGGAAACCACCGTAAATTTAAATGCTTCATTAGTGTTCAAACTACTATAATACTGCAGTATTCGAATTTTCTCCTTTAAAGCTAAAGTTTATGTTTTATTATTAAATTTAGTCCGTCAAGTCCATGCACGTAGCTTTTAATGTTAGGAACGGGGGCTATAAAGAGGACGGCAGTTATGACTGCGAATAACTATTACACAAGAGTCACTTTCGCTGATGACCTTACGACGTGAATTAGATATAGCACAGAAAGCTGGGGTTTTTTCGACGCAATTTTCCACATTTTTAAAAACTGTAATGATAGAAAAAATTCTTGGAAATACAAAAAAACTACGACGAGTAGGGAAAAACTTTTTCCATCGTCTTTTTCCTTGACTTGCCGAATAATCCATCTGCATAAAAACGAAATAACTGTTTGATGACATGCCATAATTCATTTTACTGGATGCATTTTGCCGCTAAACTTGTAGTCCCTAGAGATCCCATAACCCTACTTGCGGAAATCTGAAGTTCTTCTGAAGAGGAACCAACTTCAAGCGACATAGGCGCCTGTTTCCAGTAGGTCATCCGCCTCATCTGATTGAGATATAGCAACAGATATCTTTGAGTCCTTAATCGAGTCATCGATAGTGCAGGAATGTCATTGAATGTTCATATTGACATTCAAGCCAGTGCTGTTATCGCTGATTTTCTGTATTAAGCACTGGTTAACTAAAATCAAGGTTATTAAAGATGAGAAACTGAACACAGAATAGCGGCTTTAAGACGGTTTTTTTTTCAAATCTATTAGGCAAAAAAAAATTTGCTCGAAACCTACCAAATTAATCTTCGCTACATAACAATTTCAGATTAAAATTTAAGTCGACAATATACGCTAATTTAGCAAACAAACAAGCTCGCGACAAAGCTGAATCATGATTAGCTTTTTTTAGAACTGAATTTCAGCAGCGAATTTTTATGAAAACCTTCAGAAGGCTGAACAGAAAGTAGCAGAAGGAACGTGCGAAAGACTGCGAAGTCTTATCATTTACACAACATGACGACGTTGAGGTTCATATCATTCTCGTATTTTTTTTTGAACTGCTTGGCTGGTACCAGTGTAGCTTTAATATCATACGAAGAAAGACTAACATTTGTTCTTCGTTTTACCGTTCTGAAAGCTAGAAAACTTCAGTATAATTATTTGGGAAAGATTCTTACCTCTGCAATAACGAATAAAAATAGTTTTAAACCTCACAATAATAATCGCATCGCTCCAACTTCTTCAAAACCTTCACTTTTTATGTGGTTTTTTCCACTCTGACCAGACTTTTTGATGATAAATTGAAAAGAAATTCTGGTGAAACATAAGTTAAGAAAAGTACGATTTATAGTCTTGTAAAATGTGTCAATTCCTTGGCAGTCTGATCATGGTTATAAAAAATTTTTCTAGTTTATTATTTTGCAAAATTGGGGACCTTTCAAAATTGTTAAAATTAGTGTTCTGGCTTGATATCGTCAGTCTTGGAAGCCAAGCAACTAAAAAAGTTGCTTGTCAAAGTGAACAATTCCTTGAAACTAGAATAGATGAAGACTCAAGAGATTATAGATTTTCTAAAGTCTGAGAATCAGACTGGATTTTCCTAAATTATAACTGTCTAAACTCGAGATTTTTTGTTATGACCTACGAAGAGAGTATACTTTCTACAACACATTCTGCTGTTTCTTAAATTTGCGCCCCCCATTTTCCTGTTTCGTAGAAAAGGAAGAAATCTGCACTAAAGATGACAGCGGGAAAAATTAGCAGCTAACCGAATAAAAAAAAATTTTCACAATTAAAAAACTATTATTTTTTGTTACCGTTTCAAAAAAGAAGATTTTTTGCACACCGCACAATTTTTAAAAATAACATTTTAATAAATTTAATAAATTTTGAGTTTTTGTGAAAATATGAGTGTATTGCAGCATACAACAAGACTTTAATTGAGATGTGGCTTGTTATACAAAAATTTTGAAAAGGTTGAATGTTACGCTGTTTAATTAACCAATTTTTCTAAGTAAAAGATTTTGAACGTTGAACTAAATTTTGAAATTATTAAGCCGAGCAGTATTATCAAGAAGAATAGCAGAAGTCGTTTTTCTTTTTACTGCGAAAACGATGTGAAAATTGTTTAGGCATAAAATACGAAATAAAATCAAGTAATTACTAGCTTTGTGGTGAGAACTGAATATAAATTATGCATAAACCGGAGACTATTAAATTCTTTTTATAGAACACAGTTTACTTTTTTTGCCTTAAAAAATCCTAATGAGTAGGTTAATTTTGTTTATAAAGAAGCACCTTTTCATCGGTTTCATAATTATCTGCTAAACTGATATTTAGCAAGCGCTAATTTCTTGAATGAGGGTGCTCCAACTTTATGTTAAAAAAAAATTGTTTCTTACCAATTTATAAAATAGAATAGTAACACTTCATTTGTATCTGTTAAAACTCAAAAACAGTACACACCACAAAGACTCGATTTGTGTATTTACATTGACGTAAAAAAAGAAAAAACTGACTTACAATAAAAACGCTTTCATTCAGCACTTTAGTTTGAATAGGTAAGACAAAAATTTTTTTATTTTTACTATACAGTTGTATAAATAAAAAATTTTTAAACAGTCTTGATTAGAGTACTAAGTTTAATGAATTCTTCCCCATTTTATTTACACAAAAACTTAAAGAAAAATTCTGTTTGTGATTCACGGTAAATTAATATCGTTTCCGGGAGCTTCCTCGTAGATAACTTTGAAATGTTGTGAGAAATTCTGAATATCTGCAAAATTTTCACGTGGAAACGAATTTACAGTTAGACTGCACTAAGACTTGAGCTGTTGTAAATAAAACAGTTGGAAGAAATTAATTTGAATAAACTCAAATTTCACTTCAGTACGTAACACACAATTCATATAAAATAGAAACGTAAGTCAACAAAAAAAAAAAAAAAAAA